AGGAATTTACTCAGTGTGTAGGAAGTGTTTGTGGTCCTAAAGAAACTGAGACCAACCACCACAATTTTTAAAAAGCACAGTTATGTACACGTCTGCTAGATATCCTCATCAGAAACTGTAGAAGGTGGACATTTATAGGCTAAACGAAGAGGGAGCATTTAAATAATCCAGTAATAGAGGTTAAGAGGAAAACTAGGAATGTGCAGTAGCAAAATGAAAATGCTTTCAAAGAGGGAGGTAAGAAAGACTGGAAAGTGGTCTATGGCTTAGCACAAAGAGGTCTTCCGTGATCTCGCAAGGGAAGTTTCAGTGTAATGGGGTGGGGGTAGGGGGAACGGAGAGTTGGAAGCCAGAGGGGAGGAAAGAGAACATTTTTCCTAAACATTTTTCATTCATCAAATATTTAGTGCCTACAATGAGCCAAAAGAGTCCCGGTGGTGCAGTGGTTAGGCACTGCACAGGCCCTATGGATATAATAGTAATCTATTCTCTCTGCGTTCAAATTTAGGCTAGTGGAAGAATGTGTTCAAAGAGCTACGGGAAGGAACCTGTAGGGAGAGAAAGTCTAAAATACCTTGAGGGAAGATAAATAATGGACAGATGATATGAGATGAAAGTGGACAGGACCCAAAGCCTACCTGTGAAGGGCTTCACTTAAGAAGGAGAAAACTTTATTTCTGAGCTGGGTGAGGAACATGGCAGGAATGACGAAAGGATCTAAGCTTTACTTAGCATTGTTTTCCTCAAAGGGACACCTCAGTCTCTTGTCACTTTTGGCTTGTGCATGGTATAGCTGAATACTGGGGGTCGGGAGGGGAAAGGGAAGATGGGCTTACACTGAATGCTTCCTACTGAAAAAAAGTTACTTTAAAAAATTAGCTGTACCCCCCCGTAAATGTCTACCTATAGCAGATTTTAGTTCAAATTACCCTTGGAAATATTCATGTTATTCTTTATTTCATTATGGTTTGACATTGAGGTGTTTCACTCGAATGATAGGAGGCATAAATCAGAAATTAGCAGAAGGTTCTCAATTAACAATGTTATTAATTATACCATAAAATCATAGACCTATAAACCCATGAAAAGGTTAATCAAATCCGTCTGAAAACAGCATTTCTCAGGGGTGGAATTATGCCAAGGCCCTAAAATTGTCATAAAAATCATCAAATAACATTATTACCACTGTAATTTTTTTTGGTAAAAACTGCATTTTGGGGGTGATTGCTTCTTGGGGGAGAGACGTGGAGGATAATTGCAGAGCCCTGTCCGTAGGCGCTTTCAGTCTACCAAAACAAAACAGCAAAACCCTCCCTGGTCTCGGGTTTCGGAAAGGCTTTTTAGTGGTTCCGGGATTTAAGAATGGCGCATAGCACCGCCCTAACTTCCCCCTGGGGGCGGCTCCTGCCGGGGCCGCGGAGGACTGACAGGGACGGGGCTAAGAGGCATACCGCGAATTCCGGAAACAAGCGACCAGACTGGGCGGGGCCTAACGGAACCCCGCCTCCGCTCCCCCGGCCCGGGAACTCTGATGCAGTTTGTCCTTCGCGGAGGCCGGAGCACGCATGCGTGTGAGCTGAGCCGCCAGGGTGCGTATGACGTCACGGGCGCGCCAGCCTAAATTCTTCCTAGTTTTCTTTCAAAGATCGCGGGTAAGTAAATTTCTAAGTAGGTTTGGAGTT